TGCCAACAAGCAGCGTAATCAGTAGTCAATATATGTTGGACCTTCGTTGCAATTATCTTTACTGAGTTCGTCTTGAAGTAATATAGGCTACGTGCATTAACACAAAACGGTGGCTTATTTTCAGCATCTAAGCTTGCTTTCATTAATATGCTAACATTTTTATTATGTCTTTGGCCATACCATGTTGAAAACACCGGTCCTCTTTCGGTTACTAAAGTTAAGCAACATTAAGCATGCTTAGTATTTGGACGGGTGACCGTTTGGGAACACCACGTGCTGTTGGTATTTCATTAAAGGGGGCACGCGGTAGAGTAGTTGGTTGAGGCACTATACTGAACGGTCGCGGGTTCGAGTCCCGATGAAATTGATTTTTTTTTTCAATTGACCTAATCCTTCCAGCCGCACTATGGCCCTAGGTTCGACTCAGATTCTAAAAGAAATCAACACCAGGAATCTTCCTAGGGGTAAAGAGAGGCCGACGCTAAGTCTAACAACCTTACCGCCATTTGTAAGTCGGTTATCTGGAGAAAATGTGGGAGCCTCGACGTCTCACAGCCGTATAGGCCTTCACGGTCTGTCACAGAGATAACTTTGCATTTTATCTTTTTATGTCACATAGTACCGTACAGAATTTCGAGGCATGCCTTATTTTGTATATGACATCCTAAATTCGACTCCACTTTCGAGCAATGTTTTCAGAGCTATTAAAACTAACAGTAGAACACGTATGCCCACTTAATTTCAAGGAAAATTTAGAATGCAGTATCATGAAGTAATGTATATCACGAAACTGGGCAATTTTACTTTGTTAATTATTGTTCACTGGACAGTCGCTGGATCGATCCCCCCCGTTGACACAACTCGGGCCTGCTCAGCTCATCAGATGTTATTCAGCTGTCACTAAAGGGTGATGCTTTTCACTTGTCATTTGCACGAGAACAATGGCGCAGTAGGCCCAAAATGTTTATGAATCTCTATAGGTTGTCCGTTTTATCATGCATATATGAACTTAAACATTGACTCTTGTCTAAAGGGCATTTGGAAGGTGCCATAGTTCAGGTGGTTAGTTGCCGGTTTCCCACGGCGTTGGCTTTTCTTCGAAAAAAGCTCCGGTTATGTGGGATTTGTGGTGGATAACGTAGGATTCGAGCAGGATTTTCCGAACACATCGGTTTTCCTTGCCAATTCTAACTCCATCAACTGCTTCACACTCATCTATCATAATCACTTGGGGTTGTTAAAACAAGTCAAACTGTGCCCGGTATAAGAAGTGGAGCCAGTCTCGTCCCAGTCTACGAATAAAGAGAAAACGGTACATTTTATGTAGATCTATACGATTTTCGGAAAATGGATCTACTTCTGTGTTCACACGATTGGTTGCATTATGCTTAATGAAACGTGTATAATTTTTGTGTCTTTTTCATAGAGAAAAGTCGCAAATATGTGCCCATTAGCTCCATGAAGTCTATCAGTTTATTTGTCCGTTCGCATGTAAAAATCTGAGAACCTCTATAAGGATTTGCAATAAATCTAACATTCGACAATTATCCTATTACATGTCGACACATTCTGATTTCGCCTTCCCTTGTGCATTCTGGGCTACTTTCATACATTTTCTTATTCATTCATATTCATTCGACTCTAATCATACGCCTCAATGACTCCAATCGTCTCCTTTCAATATATACCACCAGAACTTCCGGTTATATAGAATTCTCTTAGTTGCTGGTTCGGTTTGATTAAAAAAAAATCATGACGAATAGTTCCATTTATTTTCCTCAAAAATGTTCTTCTTCTCGTCTCGTTAATGTAATTTTATCCTTATTGGTGATGTGCATACATTCAAATTTGCCCATCTGTACACAGGAGCAACGTACAGATGGTGGGTTCTATGATGAAAACATGTCCAGCCCTGTTCTCTGCAATCACTGCAACATTAACTGGTCATTTTGTTCATTGCTGGCTCTGGTTTAAAATAACGTGTCCAGGACGGGTGAGTGGCTAGTGTACACTTGCAAAATATCACTCCTGGCCGATCTTTGTGTCGGAATCACGTGTTCGGGAAGTCCCACCCGTGAGTACACAAATGCAGCAGCGCAGTTTGCAGTTTGTGTTGCGTCGAAAGGCTGCAGGGGCCTCCAGACTGTTGCAGCCTCAGCCTAAGGATGACTGTCCTTCCATATTGTCCATATGTAAAGGAAAATAAAAACGAGAGAATGGCCATAGTTAGATCCGTTGCCAGAAACAAAGGAAATTCCTATTTTTGACTGTTGGGATGGAAATTCCCTGAGCCATTAGGGCTGCCTTAATGAGTGTTCCGTCACACAAATCTACCTAAATTAAATCACAGTATTGACATACAGACTAATGGGCACCGCGTAGTTCTGATAACGTTTAATACTTTTAAACGTCCACTTAAAATGCTTTCGTTTGTATTTCTATACGAAAAGTTCATACACGCCCAAAATTGTTACTTCTAATTATTTCTAGGAGTTATGAAAAGAGAACTGCATTTGAAGCGACGAGAAGCAGACATTTGGCAATAGTCATTAAGAAGGAAACATTCAATGTGCCGAAAGATCAACTGGTAAAATCAAACCCGACACAACAAGCACACGAAAGAGCCACAAATATATTGGAAAGACGCTAAGAATTTACAGGCAGCACAAGGAATCAGGCCACATATCTCTAGTAGCTCGTCTGAACCAGTCAATCATTCCTGGATCTCTCTCTCATTAGTATTCCCACCCTTAAAGAAGAAGTTAGCGAGTTACGGCTATATCCAGTTTAATGATATCTGCAAATGTTTCAACCCTGGACTCAACGTGACGAGTTTCTGTCTGCATTCTGCAAGTAAGTTTATATATCAATCACAGGTATTCATTTAGCTGTTCTTAAGCTCTCACTGACGTGTTCCTCCTTGAGCTCTATTCCTCTGTACTTATTTTTAAACTTTTCATTGGTTCCAGCATAGCTTTCAAGTTTGGCTCTGGTTCTATGGGCTTCGGCCGGAATATTATGCACGACCATACGTTCAAGTATTAACCTAAGTGGCGGGATATGTTTCACTCTTAACTCCCAGGTATTTTTATGTCGTGCTTGGTTTATACACATTAATTTGTATTACTTCCCTGTCCACAGGTAAGGACCAGCCCTATCGATTGGGCCGAAAAGAATACATTTCATAGCAGAGGACGAAGACAGAGTCCTGTCTCCGAAACATTGTCTGAAATAATATTAGGACGGCGAATGACGTTCAAACACGATTATTTTATTAATATACGACCATACAAGCCTTTTAGATTTTATCTAAATGAAAATTTCCTTCATACCGACCCGTTATGCAAGAGGCCGTTCAGATCAGAATGCAGTTCAGTCGCAAATCAGAAGTCCAGTCGAAGACCAGAAAAGTCGTAGTTCAGAGCAGAATAAACCAGAACAGAGCCAATCAGAAATGAACAAGTTCGACTGGGGAGTTATTGTGAGTTATTGTAATTAATTGTGATGACGAGAAATTGTAAAAGAAGGTGTCAATAAATCCCATCATCCAATCCAAACACCCGTTATTATTAGTCACGCAGCCATAAACACGCGAGAACTGATGCTGACATAAAATGTACTTCATTTTGAAGAACACAAACTTTGAGTCTACTGACCGCGCCGTAGTTCAAGCGGTTAGTCGCTGGCTTCCCACCGCGGACGAGTGATTGAGATTAGCTCTTTCTGAGGGGCCCAACTGAGTAGGTGTCTTCCTTTCTCACCTGAAGACGGAAACAGATCTAGTTTCCGAAACGTCATGTCCTCTATTACCTAGAGTGTCCTCTATTACCTAGAATTCCGGATGATGGAAAAAGTCCAAAACAGTAATTTTATATGTCATCCCCCATCGTCAGAACTCTTCAAAATCTATTCTGATACTTATTCCATACTCGTGTCATTATCTACATCAGTCATGACTGTTAAAATAATGTACTAGTCGAATCCTCATTACCAATATTCTTTTAATATTGGGGGTGAACTTGAACTGTTAATGTGAGTAATGTTTCTTGTTTGATTACTCTCGTACAGTGAGAGAAACTACATCCCACCTAAAGTAGGATACCTTTACCTGTGCGCGTGCAAGCATTCATAAGTATACAGTCCCTTTTCCGTGCACTGCAGTGTCTTCTTGTCCGACTTTACTTCTCTGCAAGAAGATGGTCGGTTTCAGTGAAGACTGAAGAAGACTACGATTTCTACACTGATATTACACTATTGTGTCTTCTCAGGCTCTCATCAGCTACCTAATTAACTTCAGAGATCAGTATAACTTCTTCAGAAGCTAACAGTCGCTCGGCAACTCAAGAAATTCCTCGTCTACTACGAAATCCAAATGTCCCTTATCGAATTCACAAATTCCCGTCATTTGACCCCCTCCTGCACCAAGGGAATCTAATCCACACACCCCTTTCATATTTCTTCAAGTTCAAATCTATTATGTTCCTTCCATCTACGTCTACATCTTCAAAGATGTATCTTCCCTTTTCCGCTTTCGAACAAAATTGTCGATGCACTTATGATTTCTCTCATGCATGCAACACCAACTCGTCTCACCAGCATTTAAAGAATCAAGAGGCAAATCCATCTGAAACATTCTAATGAGAGATGTAACCTACACACAGGTTTCAACATACGAGTTTGAACCCAAGTTATGTCGACTTCAAGATCTCTCAAGAGATAATACTACGCATTACGTACTACGTACATTCAGTAATTTGCATGCTTACTTCATATTATTCAAGAAAGCAAGAGTTGGAATATAGAGCAATAGACCGAGTACCCTGACAGTTACTTTGTGTTCTTCTCAGGTCCCTTCTGGGGAGTACATGAATAGTTTACTAATATAATCATTTTATTTAAAGTAGGCCTACTGTTTCCTATACGTCATACGCTATAATTGATACAGCTCTGAGAATGTCTTTGAAGAAGTGAAGATTCAATTGACTGAGACGCGACAGTACCTGTACTCTGGCCTCGCTGAGGTCCAGTCTCATGGCAAGTTCTTCTCTAGTGAACACATCCGGGTACTGCGTCTTCTCGAAGGCGCGCTCTAGCTGATGCAGCTGGTATGTTGTGAACGTGGTACGGCTGCGACGGATTTTCCGCGGTTTCACCTCTGCTTCCAGCTCGCCGTCCGCAGCGTCCAGATCGCCAGACGTCGTCGAGCCGCTTTCCGCCCGTCCCCCACAATCCCCTTCTGCAGCAACAAGCAAACCGCTGTCATGGCGAATTTCTTCCAATTGAAACAAAGTATTTGCTACGCCGTTTTTTTTTTCCTTGGCACTACAGCCCCAGTGGGCCTAGCCCTACCTCCATGAACTTCTCCGTTCACTTCGGTTTTTCTAGATCTTACACATTCGGTAGGACTCCTTGGGCGGGTGATCAGTCCGTCACAAGGCCTCTACTTGTACACAAACACAGAAAAACGCACACACACACAAACTAAACATCCATGCCGTGAGTGAGATTCGAACCCACGATGCCGGTTTCCAAGCGAGCGAAGACAGTACATGCCTTGCTACTCTTTTACCTAGAACTAATTCCATGAAGCACATTCTTCGTTAAGAAGCTAATAACCGCTCACTTAGGCAGACATATTCAACGTTTTATGGTACTCGAAAGTTAATCACCGTGTTCATAAAAATCACAACTGGACCATAAACTGAGTCTAATAAATCCAGTTAACGATACCTCAAGCTATTTCATTAAGATCAATTTTACGGTCCTGTCTACATCTAGTTCTTCCAAGTTATCTCTCTCTTTTCATAAGGGTTTCTGTATCCATTCCACATCCCTCCCCTGCGTGCTACATGCCTCGTTATTCTTTCATCCTTCATTTGATTATACTACCAATACACGATGAAGAGCAGGTCTAAAAATTATGAAACTTCTCGTGCAATTTCATCTAGCATCCCCTTATGCACAAATATTTTCCTAATCATTCTGTTCTAAGACACCAAGAGTTACGTCTACAGAACATTTGGACCACATACTAGCAAATTCTAAAATACAATAGGCCTAATTAAGCAATCCACATCGTCTATTTGCCAGCCATACACGTATGGTAAGAAGCAAACTACTAAATTGGTCAAAGATAACGAAAGGGGATTTAACAAGTAGAGGTATCATTTTAATTAAGAGTAAGTTAATAAGCAAACTAGCACAGAGGTGTAGCAGTAAGTTGCCCTCTGACAGTCACAAAGCCCCTCACTGAATACACCCTGAATTATTCTCTCCGGCCGCAGCATTCGTCAGAGTCAGGCCTCACTCATATCCTTCGTTTACTTGGATTTTCAAGTGGGTAATTTCCAGAGGTTTCCTAACGAAAAATCTATATTCATTTGTTGTATCCCTTGCCACAGCTGTAAGTTTATATCAAGTCCAGCCTGTTCTTCTATAATTTCCTACGTTAAGATTGTTAAGCGAACCTGCAAATAAGATAATTGTATTTACATAATATCTCAACTGCCCAATCAATCCAGTCCTCATATGTTTAAATATTTCCCTAGGAAGTTTCCCTTCAGTCACTGCAGTTAATTCTATTACCTCCAGATTGCAAAAGATTCATTTCTCAATCAATCAAGGCACCTGACAAAATTGTCTTTTATATTTTACTTCTCAAATTTTATGGAGTAACATGGAATGATGTTAATTAGGAGGATAGTGCACATTTCTTGAATTTACTCTTACCATAATTCCATTATTTATACTTAATTGTATAAAATTAAACCTCCGTCAGGCTGTAGAATATTCTGGATCTTAGGAAATGGCGGGTCCACTAGCTTTGCAAAAATTGATTCATATCTTGCAGTAACAGATCTGTGTACACAGTAAATAAAAATGAAGGCCAATAAGGTAGAGAAAATAACAAATAAAACATTTTTAAAAGTGCATTTACACGATAGGTGTACCTTACACATAACAATTCTACATATGAAAGAAAAGTAAAGCAAGTGCCACGTAACTTCGAACGAGGCCTAGAGGTTAACCTTGGCCTTGTTCGAAGTTACGTGGCACTTGCTTTAGCAGCATGGTTCTACCTACATAATAAGCATTCGCTACAAAAGTAACTCCTGGTGCAAACGTAAATCTTTTCAGTGATATGAAGCTATAAAGGTTTGTTAAGCCAGCAAGCACTTCAACTGGTTCCACTACTGAACTGTATTTAAATAAAGCAGGATGCAATCCACTGAGAAGACCAAGACGTAGATGGGTGAATAATATTAAAATGGATCTTAGAGAGATAGAATGGCATGAATTGGATTCATCTGGCTCAGGTTAGGGACCAGTAGATGGCTCTTATAAACACGATAATGAACCGTCGGGTTCCATAAAATGGCGGGAAATTCTTGAGTATCTTCACAACTGGTAGCTTCTCAAGAAGGGCTCAGCTCCATGAGCGAGTGAATGAGTGAGTGAGGATTCAAACCCATGATCTACTGCTCTAAATTTATTTTACTAAAAACGAATTCTGAAACCACAAAAATCTGAAGTAGCAAGAAGTACAGCAGATACAGGACCACGCCAGGAAAAGTTGATATTTCATTGAAGGTAGAGCTTATAGCATCTGCAGGCTGGACACAAGCTTACTAACGGAGCCAGAAGTTGAATAATTGCTGAAATGAATGAACACAAGTCGGGCTATTAAGCCTGAGTTCTGTATGGGCTTATCATCAGTAGCTCTGTCGAGGGGGCAGAGTCACGTTGGAGCAACAGCGGTATATGTTTAACTTTTGATCTCTGTAAGAATGTCTAAGTGATTCTTTTTAGACCAGCATATCAAGATATATTTGGCTAATATCATACTTATAGTGACTGTCATGTTAACCGTTTGAAGCATAAAGTTCATCTAAATAACCTTCAAAACTTCGATTCCTCCCCCACAGAGAACACTGCGTCTCCATTACAAAGTCCAATCGGTGTAAGCTGTATAGGTAGATAAACACAGTTCATTCGGAGAGTCGCAACAAACACAAACACACTGTACGGAAAATGCAGGTGTTTTAATATTAAACCAAGCGTTACATGCAGTTAGCGCTCTGGTTTAATATGTTAAAGGAAAGAAAATTTGAGTTCAAAGAATCCATGAACCTGCATTTTTTTGTTTTATTTTTAAGCATTTTTAGTCACCAGAAACTCAAGTTTATCATTATGTTAATTGCTTCACATTATGCATATTCTTGTGTCTTAAGTAATTATAGAGTTATTTTACCATAAACAGTCTACAACTTTTTAAAACGTAAATAAAATTAAATAGTAGTAGTCACCACAGGATGTATATTGACCATAGACGTAACAGCAATAAGATTAGCTCTCAGATAATTATTTCTTCTAAATAATGAAAGAATTGTAGTATTTTAAATATTGGGGCTAAATAAGAGTTACAAATACGGAAAACACTATTCTCTAATTTTAAAATTAAGAAACAGTATCTGTTCATAAGCTTCTAATTATATTTATAGAAGAAAAAATTTAAATTGCGTAACAGTGGCTTTGTTGAATAATTTTAATGGCCTGACTATGGTGTGACATGGATATATTTGCAAAAGTAAACAAGATTATGAATGTGCGACTTTTCTACGATGGTGCATATCTGTTGCTTATTATTATCGTTGTCGTATCGTATAGAAAAAAATAATCAAGTACTTCCAGATAGAAATTATAAATCCTGATTTCCATTGCAGATTTAATGTCCTAAAAATGTTGTGTTATCAGTGTCTCACTCAAGTATTGTAAGTTTAAAATTCAAAATCAAAATTCTGTTGAGCTCATAGGCTAGCATTTTGGATAGTGCGCAAAAGATCAAAACGAGGAAATCATACTCAAAACAAATTTCTATGCTTGCAACTCTAATTATGAATAGACCACTGTAGGTCGCGGTGCAAGGGCCGAGAAGGCCCACCCCTTATACATTCATGTTATGGATTATTATTATTATTATTATATTTTATTTTGTGAAAGAATTTATGAATTAAGGAGTCTACAGATTTTGTCCAGAGTCTGTTTGCCTGACATAGGCTTACCCTAAAATATCGCACCGTCGCCATGATAAAAAACATTTTGTATAGAATTTGTAGACATGTTTATGCTCTACCTTGATATAAAATATGTGTGTAGCGCCAATTATGTAATAGTTATAACGATACAGGTTTTATGCAGCCATATTTTGTTGTTTTACATTCTACAAAACCATTACCCCAGCAACGGTGCATATATTTCCTAGCTCTATTATGAAACGTCGTGTCAGGACCCTTCATTAAGTGTCACTCTCACTTCACAAGTTCGAGTGTCCACCAAGCTGTTATTAAGGAGTGAAGAAAGTTAATACGTGTGAGGCACGCTACTCACACAAAGTTTCGTGAAGATTTGTCATTTGTTTCATAACTTGAAATCTGACACCAAAGCTATGGAATGTAAGACCTATATGAAGTCTGTGTGCGATTTTTGTAACAGATGTTAATGAAATCTTGCGTGATTGCCACGCCATTTTCATACATTTTGGCTCTATAATAATAATAATAATTCAATTCAATTCACGTTTATTTACGTGCAGACGTAACAGCACAGAGGCCAATAACAAAGTTGGCACGAGTACATAGAAATACAGATATAACTAAAAGACAAAATACAAATACGACAGTCTATATAATGGCATTAAATTAATAACAATTCCAAGAAAAATTAAAGTTAGCATTAACAGATGAGAAAATAAAATAAGTATATTTCGAATGGTTATTCCATTATGTGGTGAGAAAGGACAATACACATACATACACACATAGAAGTTAATATTAGTAATAACACAATTAATAATAATAATAATAATAATAATAATAATAATAAAGTGACAAACGCATTTAGTTTAGAGTTCTCAAGTTTCATAGGGTGATACAAATTCGAGATCTGGACAACATTGTTTTATCAGTTTTCGTAGAATCTAGAATAACTACGATCTATACGCAATCTGAAGAATGCTCTCTTCTGGGATGTGTCGCCGTGTAGGTCTTGCGTGAACCGAAGTTTCGGAGGAACGTATCGCCTCCACCTTCAGAGTATAAAAATCCGCGAGCGAGGAACCAGAGTGAGCAGATGGCTGCAGACTGAGCTCTGCAAATTTTTCTACCCTGAAGATGGAGGCGATACGTTCCTCCAAAACGTCGGTTCAAACAATATCTACACGGTGCCACATCTCAGTAG